CCAGCGTGAATATCAAGAAGGCAACAGGGGTCTGATCAGCCTCTCCCCGTCGCCGAACGATCCCTCGACGTACCCTTCCCTGCGCGCAAAGTTCCACGGAGCCTAGCAAACTTCGTGAGAGTGAATTGTGAGTGAATCCAGAGCTCTGTCCGAGTCCTTAAACTGGGACTTAAGCGAAGTATTCCTGGAAGTTTTCCAGCCTGCACCGCGACCATCTACGGTGTAAGTAAACAATCTTAAACAACCATTAAGCGTCCGTGCCTAATACTAGCGTGCCGCCTGCCTTCCCCGACCCGGTGTGTCCGGGCTGCTGGCCACAGCCCGCCGCACGAAAAAAGGGCCTCGGACTGCTCCCGGCCCGCACAATAAGCACCTGAGGCTCGTAATTTCTCCTGTTAATTTTTAAAACTGTCTCAGGAACTCTCCAAATTAGTTCAACTTCTCTTTCTCTATTTAAAAAAAAACAAAAAAAACAAGCCCTCACAAAAAATTTAACTCTGATCAGCTCAGAACCAAATGAGGGTAAAGACCCATCACACTATTTGACTTAATGGTAATATTTTTGCCAAAGTTATTACTGCTAGATGAATAGTAACTGTTACTCAATTTGAAAAGAACACTGCCAAGGGCATCTGTTAATAGACATCACAAATGTTGAGGATCAGTTACTAAGTGAGATTCCTCCCATGTTATCCTTAAATACAACATTTCTGATCATGTTGTACAGAACTATATAGAGGAAGGTTTAATTCCTTAAACTTCTTCTCAAGTGCTAGGGACAGAGAGAATGATAAGTGCTAAAAAATTCTAAGTTTACTCTACATCTTATTCAGGGGTTACACCTTTTCAATCTACCACAACGGAGTCCAATTTGTTTCCCCCTTTTTTGTTTGCTTCCTAGTTCATGCCCCTCTATTGTGATATTAGGCAACTTTGGGCATAAGTCTATGCTACACCTTTGAAAGGCACAAAATAGAACCTGCAACCTTTTGCATGGTGGGACCATGGTCTCTTTCGGCCACCTCTGTATCCTCTAATGCTGCGCTCCTTTGAGGGTTAGAGAAGTTGCTAAGGTAAAATAATCCTGCAAAAATCACTTCTACCCATCCTCACTCCCTTTGTGGATTTGTTGAGAGGATTTCATAATACACTTGTGTTCCTCCTCAGTTTCCAGACTGGGGGACTTTTATGCCAAATATATCAGAGATTTTTAAGAGGCCCGTTCTGAAACTGGCTGCTTGAGAACAGCATTTCTCAACCTGTGGGTCACAAGCCAAAAGTGGGTCACAAGGATATATGAAAGGGTCACAAACAAACTTTAAAAAAATGGATCAACAAACTTTAAAAATGAATTCTCCTTTAAAAGGAGAAAAATGTGCATTTCCTCTTGCAGGGTGGTAGTTCCAGCCAGCAAGGGGCTGCTTGGGGCAGGGGAGAGTGGGAGGAAAGTGATCGGGCAGGGGGCACCACGTGCATGTGCATGCTTATACATGCACGTAGCACCCAGGCAGCATGGAGAGCAGTTCCCACAACTCCCCACAGATAAGTCTATGGGACGGGAGGCAGGGGCATAGATGACATGTTGGGGGGTGGAAAGACGCAGGCAACACTGCCCACCACTGCACCTCCTCTCCGGGGTAGAGCTGTGGTCTGAGGGGAGCGGTGGCAGAGGCTGGGCCATGGCAGAGGGGCAGAGCTGCAACCTGGTGCATGAGCGACTGGCAGCAGGAGAAAGTGAGGGCAGTGCAACCCTGATCTCTGTCCATTACTCCTTGTGTTGCTGGTGGCATGGCTGGCACAGGGGTTCCAGTGGCAGCAATGAGTCTTGCCCCGCCCCCCCGCCCTTCTGCAACAAGCCCCGCCCCCCCATTCCCCACACGTCCCCTGCCCCACACACTGGGGTGCTGGGACCTGGGGGCATTGGGTTGAGAATGAGGGGCACCAGCAGGGCCTGGGGT